TTTATCTCTTGTAAGATAAAAGGTAGTGTAGGCCACACCCCAAAGAAACTCCGCTTACATTGGATCAGGGATTTGACCCGACTAAGGATGTTACATCCCACCCTAATTCTCTTTAACATAATCTAATCTTGCCTTATTAACCACAGGCAGAGATTAGAATTTACAACACATAGGAAAATTACATCAGTCACAAAATGGAGGACAACCACACAATACTGGGAATCATGGCCTCACCAAGTTGACACATATTTTGGGGGGACACAATTCAATCCATTACACTCTGTGTTTTGATCATAAGTTCCTGAAAGAGGATCATTCACCCATGTGATAACGGAATGTTCCTTGAGCCCTTACAATTGTAAACAAGAAGAACATGGTCTCTGCCTTCAGAAACTAACAACAGAACCACCCTCTAGATGAAAAGCATTTCTTTTCCTTTTAAAGGGTGTTATAAGAGACAAAACCTCTGTGATTCCAGGAACTGACTGATGGGTTTCCATCAGGAAAAATGTCTTTTTGCTTCTGTGCTTCTGATCTCTATACTTCAGCAACATCTACCTACTTATTTCCAAAACACCCTTTCTCATGTTCCTGACTGCATGATATCCTACAGCCTCTCCTGTTTATTTTCTTTTAACGAACTCTTATTCATCTTTCAAGATAGAGCTAGGGTGGTGCAAACGGTGCCCACTAACCATAAAGGCTGGGCGTTCAAACCCACCCAGACGTGCCTTGGAAGAAGGCCTGGCAATCTGCTTTAGAAAGGTCACAGCCTTCGAAAGTCTGTAGAACACAGTTCTGCTCTGCAACACATGGGGTTACCATGAATTGAAATCGACTCCACGGCAACTGATTTGGGTTTTTTGTTTGTTTGTTTATTCATCTTTCAACAGCCTAGCTCAAGTAGCCTATTTAGGGAAGACCTACCAAGGTGGGCAAATTGAATTTTTGTTCCCTTTGGTGTAAAAAGAAGAGTGGATTTCGTCTTCCTTTTGGGCTCAGTAGCACCTTTATTTTTCCCTTCCCTTCCCACTAGACTGTAAACCCCTGGGGGTGGGGGAGGGCAGGGATTGTGTTTATTAGGCTTCCTGTTCCCCAACTATTGGCACAAGACCTGTCACATAATATATTATCGCTAATATTCATTAAACAGTGTATGCCAAAATTTGTACTCCTTGGCTTTTTCATTTTCCCAACAGTTATGTGGTAGATACTGTTGTTATCCATTCCAATTTTTACATATGAGGTAAATTTCTATATTAAAGCTTTAAAACCTTAAGTAACTTGCCCCAATGTCACACAGCTAGTCAACTGGCAGAGTCAGAATTAGAACTCAAATTATCAAATAATCCACCTACAGCATTTTTCCCAGTGTCTGGCACATAGTCAATAAATCTTAGCTGGTAGAGTTATTGTCCAAAGTTGGAAGGCCAATAAAATAGGAAAGCTGGCATTGTAACTCAAGCATTTATTCATTTAACTCCAAAATTCAGTTTTTCCATTACACCTGAATTTAATTAACAGGGCCTCTTAAGGGTCATAAGAGACCTAGATACTTCCATTTTTGAGGTTCCTGGTGCTCTGGTGGCACAGTGGTTAAGAGCCTGGCTGCTAACCAAGAGGTTGGCAGTTCGAATCCACCAGCCACTCCTTGGAAACCCTATGGGGCAGTTCTCCTCTGTCCTATAGAGTTGCTATGAGTCAGAATTGACTTGATGGCAACGGGTTTGGTTTATAGGGTTTATTTAATATTCTGCTGTCATTGCTAGTTATATGTCTGAATACCTTGAGGGTGGGCACTATATTTCAATTCTGTATTCCTAGCAGATTGTGCTGGGTCTAATAAATGTTCAATAAACATTTATTGAATGAATATATAGGACAACGGCTCCATTTTGGTCTCAGGGCCCCTTTACACTCTTAAAAATTATTGAGGACCCCAAAGAGCTTTTGTTTATGTGGGTTGTTGTTGGGTGCCGCTGAGTCAATTCTGAGTCATAGCAACCCCATGTGACAGAGTAGAACTGCCCCCATAGGATTTACTTCGTTATAATCTTTAAGGGGAGCCCTGGTGGCACAGCCAACCTCTCCTTGCAAACACTATGGTGCAGTTCTACTCTGTCCTATAGGGTTGCTATGAGTCAGAATCAACTGGACGGCAATGGTTTTGGTTTTGGTTTAATCTTTAGGGAGGAGCCCTGGTGGCACGGTGGTTAAGAGCTCAGCTGCTAAGCAAAAGGTTGGCAGTTCAAATTCACCTGGAAATCCTGCGGGGCAGTCCTACTCAGTCCTATAGGGTCGCTATGAGTTGGAATTGACTCGATCACAGTGGGTTTGGTTTTCTCGATTTTTTTAATCTTTAGGGAAGCAGATCACCAAGTCTTTCTCCCATGGAGCCACTGGGTGGGTTCAAACCACCAACCTTCAGGTTAGCAGCTGAGTGCTTAACCGTTATGCCTCCAGGGCTCCTATGTGGGTTATACCTATTAATATTTACCATATTAGAAATCAGAACTAGAAAAAATAACTTTTATTTATTAATTCACATAAAATATCAATAAGTCTATTATATGCTAAGATAAATAACATTTTTATGAATAACAACTATATTTTCCAAATCACAAAATATACAGCTATACACCAATGTTCATTACAGCACTTTTCACAATAGTCAAACCTGGAAACAACTGAAATATCCATCAACAGATGAATGGATAAACAAAATGTAGAATATACAATGGAAAATTGCTCAGCCGTAAAGAGAAATGAAGTCCTAATGTATGCCATCACGCGGATGAAGCTTGAAAACATGCTGAGAAAAATAAGTCAGTCACAAAAGGAAAAATACTTTATGATTTCACCTATATGAAATAAGCAAATATCAGGGAGGGGGAAAAAGGGGAGTTTTGCTTAGAGGGTATTGAGTTTATGTTAACAATGATGGAATAATTTGGAAAAGGACAGCGATCAATGTCACTGAATTGTACGTGTGGAAATTGTTGAATTGGTGAAGGTTTTGCTGTGCATATTTTCACCACAAAAAAAGGAAACAAGCAAACTGTATATATATACACTGTATATATATTGATATAGATATATACACGTTGTATATATATGTATCTGTCTCTCAGAGTCATTGTAAAAAAAAAGGAAGCATATATATATCGAGAAGTGTCATTGTTTTATATTTTTGCAAATCTGTCTTTATAGAAGGAGCTGGGTTCTCATATTTCCTTATGCATTCAGTTCATTTTGCTATCACGCGACACATCGCCTCTGGAAAACTCCACTGTACATCATGAGAGAATGAATGTGAAAAAGGTAAAAAAAAACTTAGTATTATTATGAAAAAGGGTTTGATCTCGCGGTGAACCCCTTGAAAGGCACACACTGAGAACCACTGGAGAGAAAACTTTTATTTTTGAACAATGTTTCTGCTTCAGGATTCCTCTATACATTGCTAGCCTGAGAGGGGTCGTCAGAGTGGAAAAGTAAAAAGAATACCATAGGAACAGCTTTTCTCATTTCCTTTTGGTTAAGAACTACAGCTGCTAACCAAAAGGTTGGCAGTTTGAATCTACAGTCGCTCCTTGGAAACCCTACGCAACAGTTCTACTCTGTCCTATAGGGTCGCTATGAGTTGCAATCAACTTGACGGCAACGGGTTTGGTTTTTGGTTTTATGGTAAGAGAAACAGTCTCACCGTAACCCAAGATGGCAACCGCTACTCATAATTCAGTCCGTACAATGACGTCACACAGCGAAGGCGACGCTCTCCCTCCCTGAGATTTCCACTTCACTTCCCAGAATGCTTTGCCAAAAGCAAGCCATTGGTCGGCGCCGACGGAAATGCAGCTGAATAGGCGGAAGTAGGGGGTTAGAAAGGTTGGGAAGGTGAAGACGCCAGAAGCTGTGAGTAGCCACTTGGGTCTGGCTGCTTGACGGTGAGGAACGCGGCTAGAAGACGGTCTGCTGGGAAGCGCAGGGTGGCAGTTCCCTAACCATAGGGGCCCAAACTCCTGCGTCCTTCCAATAGAGTTGGGAGTAGGGAGGAACAAAATATCGGTGTGGAGGCGAAGTCTCCGTACTGTGATCTTGCTGTTTTAGTTTTCCTTGGGATGACCTGGGTCTAATTTCGGCTTTTGTCGCAACACATGGGTCGTTGGCGTGATTTTGTTGCGACCGGGCGGTAAGGGTAGGACTGCTGATGGTCTGACTCAGCTTTTAGAGCAGTGATTCTCAATTGGCTGCACACTAGAATCACTTGGGGGAACTTAAAAAAAAAAAATACAGATGCCGTGGCCCGACACTAGACCAATAAATTCAGAATCCGTGGCGGCTAGAGTCCTGGCTGTGTATTTCCTAAAACGTCCCAAGTGTTCTGTTGTGCAGCCAGCATTGAGAATCACTCATAGAGCATGATTCTGATCCCCACGGAGATCCTTGTTAGGACCACCTACGCCAGAGCTTTTCTTCCACTGTAACCTGCGTGGGCTCTACCACACGCATTTAGGTGAAGTTGATGATTTTGGCAAGGACTCTATTTTGAGCTCCACCAGAAACTTATTCGTGAACTTAGCTAGTGGTGCTGGAAAAAGACGGTTCTTAGTTTCTGATTCACAACCTAGTTATTCATACTGAGTAAAGACTAGAGCTCTTTTACTTTTCTTGCCAGTGTTATAACTTCTGTTTTTTCTTCCCTGACAAAGCGTGAGCAGTGAAAGGTGAAAGAGTCAAATTAACATTGGTCTGTTTTGTTGCTTTTAAGCTCAGGTGCCACATTTGTCCAGGAAATGAGTGTCAGTTAAAATATTACTTATGGGCTCATGATAAGCTTTTTTTTTAAAGTAATGAATTCCAATGAAAGGAAACTTGTGTTTGAGGCCTTTGTGCAGATGGTAATCCCAAAAGGAGATTTGTTTAGGTGTGATCCGCAGGAAGAAAAAATTTTATATAAGCACCAGCACATAACATATTTTTTCCTCTTTGCAGAGCTTCAGCTTCACCTCCCCCACTGAATCCAGCATGGGGGAGAAATCAGAGAACAGGGTTCCAGATGATCTGATCAATGGCTTGAAGGTTACAGATCCCCAGGAATCAGAATGTGTCAGCCCTCCAGTTTCTAATCCCAAAGATGAGCATTTCCAGAGCAAACTGCTCAAGGATGTTCAGGCCCATCCCCAGGAGGACCAGGGAGAAGAGGAGTGCTTTCATGATTGCAGCGACTCGTTTGAGAAGGAGGAGCCCGGAGTAGACAAGGTTGAGGACAAACCCGATGATGATGTGAATTCTTCTGAACTAGATGAGGAATACCTAATAGACCTGGAAAAAGACCTGTCAGATGAAGAGAAACAGGTAAATATCTATTGTGCATGATCTGTTACTTAAACTGACTTTTAAAGTGAATGAATGTGGTGAATGTATCATAGACCACTTAATCTATGGTGAAGAATAACTTGCCCCCTTTTTGTGCTTATTGCTTTAATAGTGATGGATCTGAGATAAATCAGTAGCATGGCAGGGAAACATTAAACGTGTCTGCTTAGCAAAAAAAAAACCTTCAATTTTTTTCTGTGAACTTGGAGTTCTTATGTTCGTCTTGTACTTCAGGAGTCTAAAACATTACAGTCCTTTTGCTTAAAAAATTATATATATGTCTTTTAGCTTTTCTTTATGTCGTTATCTATATTTGGCTGCTGAAATGCCTATAATGAACATTTTTGTATGAGTCGGAATTGACTCAACAGCAACAGGTTTAATCTTTTTGGAAACCCTGGTGGCATAGTGGTTAAGAGTTTGGCTGCTAACCAAAAAGTCAGCAGTTCGAATCCACCAGGCGCTCGTTGGGAACCCTGTGGGGCAGTTCTACTCTGTCCTATAGGGTCTCTATGAGTCGGAATCAACTCGACAGCAATGGGTTTGGTTTTTGGTTTTTAGGATTGTGGTGTGCTCCCTGTATCTGATAATCCCCTATTAGCAAAAAATGACTTATGTGTGTATGATAGTAACTATCATTTGTTGATCATCAGCCACTGAATTTAAAATGTTGGTTGAGTTTTCATTTAATCCTCACAACACTCCTGTGAGACAGATACTGCTATCATTCAGTATGAAGGAACAGAGCTAAGAGTGGCAAAGTAACTTGCCCCAAATTACACATCTAATCAATGGCAGAACTGACTCTCAAACTCAAATCTTTTTGATTCCAAAGCCAAAGTATAATGCAAAATTTAATAACAAAAACAGCTGTCTTCTTACAAAGCAGATACGATAATAAAATGTGCGTGCTCCTGCTTTTTTGCCTCTGGGCCACATCTTTAACTGGGCAGGCCTCCACTTTTGGAGGCAGGAACGTCTTAGTGTCCTCTACATGTCCTTCCTTCTGATCTCACAGGGAAGGTTGTTCACAGTTACTATAATATCTGAGCTTGTCTGCGGAGAACTTACTGAAGTTTATAGCTTACACCTCTGAAGAGCTCACTCACCAAGCAAGTTAGGTAGATTGGTAATGGACTGGGATAATAAATGTCCAGTGTGACAGCCAGGGTGAGGAGGTAACGTGGGAGGAGATCTTTTCTTTATGTCTCCTCAGACAATTTTCATTATCAAACAGACTAGTTTTAGCCTGGATGTGCTAGTTTTGTGCTAGTGTGTGCCACAAGAGGAGGAGAAAGGGCAAAAATCAGCCAAGTTCATAAACTACCTCAACAGAAATAGCTCAGATAATTAAGTTAAGTACTGTTCAGTAACAGAGAAGTGGTTTTCCAGAAAGTGATTTTTTGGTTCAATTATTATAATGGTGTAGGCTTTTTACAAACATTGATTAATTGTCTATGTTAAAAAGTCAGCAGTGCTTTTCTGATGCCTTAATGTATTTTGCCTTGATATCGGTGAATTTTCTACAGTGACATCTGGGTTTGACAGTTGAGTGGTTTTGCTCAAAATATCGCATATAACCCACCCCCAATCTAGTTAAAAACTTTATGTCTCCTAGGGCAGGAGATCACATTTTAAGTTCTATACATATTTTAAGATAATTATTCTTATTGTCTATAAGTGTAATGTAATCTAAATAATACGATACCTTATTCACTTTTTTCTCCTTTTTAAAATTGAGACATGGTTTACGTATAGTAAAACAGTGTAAGTTCTAATGTGTCTAGTACAGTGATTTTTGACAAATATTTATACCTGAGTAACTCACACCCCATCATGATATGGAACATTTCCATCATGCCAGAAACTCATTTACCTTTACCACTCATTCCTTCTCCCCCACCTCACCAATACAAGCAACCACTGTTCTGATTGCTTTCACCATAGATAGGATTTTCCTGTTCGAGAATTTCATTTAAATATAATACAGTAGTATTCGCTTTTAAAATATAAACATTCTCTACTGTTTTATACTTTGTATGTCAATCTAAATGATTTTATAATTTAATTTGAAATTTTATAAGAATATCTCCTAGCAGTACCATATTGTGATGATTGTCTGCTAATTTTGTAAAAATATAAGCCATTAACTTCACTGCTGTATGAGAGTACAGACTGCCTTTATCTAATTTTGTATTTAAGTATTAAGTAATTTTGGTATTAACTCTACTAGCTACTTTTTGTGCTGTCTAATAACTGTCTTTGTGAAATTATTATCAAGAAGCCAGCCATGAAGATGAAGAAATACCTCTTCGCTACATAAATGGTTTGGTTTATATATTGGTTTATAGGTCATGAACAGGATAGCTTTAAACTTGTTTCTTTTAAGATAAAGAAAGTTCAGATAGTTCAACCAAGAAAAGAAACACAAATGGCTGAAAAATGTGAAAAGACATTCAGTTTCTAATTTAAAAAAATGCAAATTAAAATATTATATCTCAAAATAAAAATTGTCTCCTGTCAGATCAGCAGTGTTGATCTGATATTGACAAAAGGAGAACATAGGAATTTACATACTAATAGTGTAAGTTTAAATAGTTACAACATTTCTATGGGATACAATATCAAGTCTTTATATGAACGTTAGAACAGGTCTGTCAGTAGAACCTTCCTCAGTGATGAGAATGTTCTATATCTGCACTGTCCAGTACTGTGGCCACTAGCCACATCTGGCTGTTGAGCACTTGGATTGTGACTAGTACGGCTGAGGAGCTGACTGAATTTTCTTTATTGTAATTAAATGTAAGTAGTCACATGTGGCTAGTGGGTACCATATTGGACAGTGAAGCTTTAAACCCCTGATTTTCTTCTAGCATTTTATTTTAAGGAAATTATAAGAGACGTGCAAATGTTTATACAAAGATGTGTTGCAACAGCATTCATAATTTTTGAAAACTAGAAAAAACATTACTGTCAGTCAGGAGGAAAACTACTTTAAACATTTTGACATACGCAGTAGTGTACAATTCATTCATTAAAAAGAGAGATAAATCTTAGGTATTGACATAGAAAAATGCTCGTAAGTTAAAAATTCTTTTTAAGTTTAAAACCTATATGAAGGTAATGTTTGTACACAAAAGTTTGATAAGATATATACCAAATTATAAACAGTGATTATCTTTGAGGGGTATGATTATTGAGGAATTTTTATATTTAATATAATTCTATAATGTATTTTTTACTGTAAGTATATATTAAATTTATAATCAACCACAACAATAACAACAAAAAGTTACTCCATTTTGAGAACATAAATAAGTAAAATCTGATTCTTTACAACCAAGGTGGATGTTTTACCAAAAAAGCACATAAAACTGACCTTTGAGACTTTAGGAGAGAGGTGCTGTCATAGGAGCTGTGTATGACTAAATGTTTCTCTTTGGGCAAAATCAAGTATCAGTAGCCAAAATCGATTTTTCACACTTACTTGACTTGCCCCTGTGGCTGAGAAGATAACTTAGGCTCAAGTGGAGTTCCAGTTCTCAGAGGAACTCATAAATCAAGAGTAAAGGAAGGGGAAGGCAGTTAAGGTTTGGTAAGAAGGGGCAAAATCTCTAAAGGAAAGCACCATGTATGTGTGTGTTTATTTTAGCAGCAAATCTTAGCTATTTATGAGAACTTAAATGTAGACATGACTAGCCACAGGATGGGATTTTAGCCAGTGTCTGAGATACATGAGGCAGATAGTGATTCTCAAAGGCTTGGCTTTGGTGAAGGACAGATCTGGCAGCAGAAGAGATGTATTGCTGTTATAATAGTATGATACAAAGATGCTTATAGTATTCTGTAGAGTATACTGCAGTGTGGTGGTATTGCTCCTGTGGGCTGCTTGTCACAATGCAGTTTCCTGGGTCTCATGCAGGCCCAGTATAACAAATTGACTGGATAATTGTTATGCATACTGAAGCTTGAGGACCTTGCCGATAGTCTTTCTTCATTAAATAGCTGTTGAATGAATAGTATGGTCATTTCTCCCATGAGGGCCAGTAATTGGCCTCACAAGTTACAGAGATTTGATCTCATTCATTTATTCAGAAAATATTTGTATTTCTTTCACATGCCAGGTGTTGTTTGAGGCCCTGAGGGCACAGTGGTCAATAAGACAGGGTTTCTGTTCTCTCATAGGTATATTCTAGTTGGGAGGTATGAAAAATAATAAGATGGTGCGATGCAGGGGTGGGAGTTCAGAGGATGAGGAGGACTGTTTTAGATTGGCTGTTCAGGAAAGTCCCTTCTGGGGACTTGGGGTTGGGGGGTGGGTGGTGAGAAAGAGCCAAACATATAAGATCTGGGGAGAAGAGTTCCTAACAAAGGAAGCAGTTAGTATAAAGGCTTTAACATAGCAACAAGCTTAGTGTGTTCTTGTCGTGTTCAAGGAATGGAAGGACCAATGGCTGGAGCATAGTGAGCAGGGAAGAGAGTGGTTGAGATGAACTAAGCAAGGGTCCAATTATGGAATGCTTTGTAAGCTATGGTGAGGAATTCGAAGCTTATTCCAAGTGCAAGTGGAAACATGGATAATTTCAAGCCAGGAAAGAGACTGAAGTTATTTACATTTTAGTAAGACTATTCTAGTTGGGCAGGAAATGGAGGCTGTGAGGGAGAGGAGGGGCACCAATGGAACACTGAGACCAATTAGGGCCTGATGCAGTAGCCCAGGCAATGATGATGGTAGTTTGAACTGTGGATCTGAAGAGAAGTGAATGATTTCAGGATATATTTTGGAGGTAAAGTCGACAAGACCTACTGGTGGATTTGATTATTAGGAGGGTTGGGAGTGAGAAGTTAGGATGATTGTTTGGCTTTAACTACTGAGTGGATGGTGGCATCCTTTATTAATGTGGAGAAGATTGAGGGACTTTGACTTCATCAGAGCTTTGGTGGTTTAATTTTTGTCTTTAAACGAAAAAGTTTTTTAT